AAAAAAGATAAAAATAGTAGACATGGACTGACGTGGATCCTTGCTGTTTTGTCCACTTATTTTTATTTTTCCCCCAAAATTCTTGGTAACTATATAAAGCCATTTCCCAAATTAAATTTAGTCACATTACAAATTTATAAGCTTCTTATTCTTATATATATGTAGCTCCATTTAGAGAATTAGGATATTATTATGGTTAGAGTTATGGCTAGAAGAACAATGAGTCATCGGATTTTAACGTGCGATAAGTCGGAAATAGTGACATTTTCCGGCGACCCCGCATCGATAAATATTTCTGATACTATTTTTGGTTTTCTCAATAACGAATCATTGAAAAGTATCCATCTTGATTTTTGTGACGAAAATGAGAATGAAGATGATGATGATGAAGGCGAAGAAAAAGATGAGTCGGAAAATGTTGAAGATAATCAATTTTGGGAAACTCAACATCAGCTTTTACAAGTAAGTAATTTCAAATATTCAATTATTTTTTTAAAAATAAAATTTTAATCACAAATTAACGAGGGGCGCAAAGAATTTCGCACATTAATCGGTAGAATGTGTGATGTGAAAAGTCTGCTCTAATGTAGTGTTTGTAATTGCTATATATCACGGTTGAAGCTCGTAACCTATAATCACGTAGAGATAAACTTTAATGTTGCTCCGAGACTCTAGAATCGAATTAGAAATAATATAAAGGGTCTTGTTTTGAAATTTTTCTATTTCCTAGTTTTGCTCTCTTCGATTAAAAATAGTCTTCATTTCCTTGCATTTCTCCTATCCGATAATTAATTACTTAACGGCCATTTCATTAATTAATTTTTTTCGTAGCTAATTTCTCCTTTTAAAATTATTTAAGTTGTTTTCAATAATAGGAAAGCTTGATTACTACGAAAAATAGAATAATAATTTGTCGGCTAAATTGAACTGATAGTATAAAGATTCTTTATATTTTTCGTGCATATAACTTAAAGTCCTATAATTATGTGATGATTTTATACTGATTTTCTTACATAATTGGTGTAATTTTATAAGATACAATTTATTCTAGTTATCAATTTATGTTATTAAATAAAGCTATTTGTAATTATATTTTTAGTAATTTGATTATGTAAATATTTTTATTTCGTCAGGGTGTACTATATCGGACTACTTCCTTAGAATCACAAATCCGAAGCATTACAAAGGAGGCAATAAAAGAAGGAAATGGAATTATATGTAGTTGCCGGAGAACGCCGGATGACGGTTGCAAGACCTGCCTCATGAAGGAGGTTTGCAACCGTCTGCAAATTGCAGGGTTCAACTCTGCAATTTGCAAGTCGAAATGGAAGAACTCTCCAGATATTCCATCAGGTAACTTTTTTTTTTAAAAAAAAAATAAATTCTTTTTAGTAAAGAGTTTAAGTTATATATACCGATGAAGTAATGAAATTTTAAGCTTAAATTATATACATTTGTTAATATGTAGAAACTTTATATAGTTAGTGAAAGTATATCTGTATGCCAGCATCCTTAAAATGTGAGATTTATAATCTTGAAAATAAGTAAGTAATTTGTTATAAAATGTAAAGATGACTCGATCACGTGAAAATTTCTTACACTATTAATGTACTTAATTTAAATAAAACCTATTATAACAAATTATTTACCACTTATTTCAAAGCTATGAAGCAACACTAAATATAAATACCTCTTCGTAATGGAAGTACGTATAGAAACTTTAATATATTTATATTTTTCTTTAATATGATCGGATTAAAGAGTGATCTTTTATTAAACCTTAAAGATCGATTTAAACTATCAATAATACGGAGATCTTGATCTTTGATGGAGATGAAATGATAACTTATTAAAATCTTTTAATAATAGTGTATAAAATGACAACTTTATATCTACATCTAGACCTTTTAACTTACCCTAATTTTATAACTGAGAATGACATCCATATAAAAATCTCTTTTAATGTATGGTAATGAACCAATTACATAGTTTTGATATTTCTAATACAGCTGGAAAATGACTTGTTTAATTTGTGGCTATCCACCAAGGACAAAATTTATGACAAGAACTTTTCAGACACATTTTTTTATTCACTCAAATATTATTTTTTATGAATATATTATATTTTGAATAACTTTAACGATCTTATTAATCATATGCATGTTATACAGGTGAACATACATTTATAGATGTGATTGACTCATCAAATCCTAAAAAGGGAGAAGTAAGAGTTATCATAGAGCTAAATTTTCGTTCCGAATTTGAAATGGCACGAGGATGTGAAGAATACAACCGATTAGTAAAAAATTTACCAGAAATATTTATTGGAAAAATTGAAAGATTGCTATCGTTGATCAAGATTTTGTGTGCGGCAGCCAAGAAATGTATGAAGGACAAGAAAATGCACATTGGGCCATGGCGTAAACAAAAATACATGCAAGCAAAATGGCTTAAAACCCGCGAACGTGTGGAGGCGGCCAAGTTAACGTACTCGTCCTCTATGGACGAGTATTCTAGTCGGCCGCCTCCACGGCCGAGGGCCTCCATGCTCACGGTCGATTTGTTGGAAAATTTCCCTAGTTTACATCTAATAACGACAGTTGAAGTAGTGTGAAATTTTGAAAGAGAAACATTATTATTAGTATATAAGTTATATTAATTGATGTATACAATTGGGAAAAAAAATATATACTATAATTGTATTTTGTTCTTTTTCTCTAGGCTTTTGGGGGTTGGAGAGTTTTTTTTTTTTTTTTTGAGAGAGTTTGAGGTTATTGCTAGAATTTTAATTTACTCCTCTTTAATTAAATAATTACCTTGTTTTCTATTTAAGGAATAAATCACATAATATTATGGCAGGATACTATTTTACCACTTGACCACTAGTGTTTGGTGTTTGTTTTATACAAAAGTTTGATTTTCTAAAATAAAAATAGTGCTCGAATGAATAAGATTTCTCCGCTTTTTAATTAGAGTTTTTGGATACAAGCCTAAAATATGAAAAAATCATGATGGGAGCACTTTCCCTTTGAATGAGCCTTACACTGTACAAATTTAAAGTAATTAGTAAGACTTCAACATATATAGATATCGAACGGCAAGTGAAAGAACAAAAAAAGAAGAGGAAAGTGGTAGGTAAGATAAGTTTTCAAGCTTAATTAGCTTTTGAAACACCATAATCAATGTGGCAAGTTTGATCAACTTTTCATTAATTTTGAGTTTTTTTTTTAAAAAAATAATTCATATGAGCAAAGCAAAATGATTAAAAAGGCCTTTAAACATAATTTAAGGTTTTTATTAGGATAGTCTAAACGGAAAATATAGTGTACAACCGACTAGAAGTAGGGTGAGATGGATGAAATTACCTTTATCATTAATTAGAAAGATTTCGGATCTTGAGTCATAAGATTAGAAAAACCTCACACAAGAAGCGTTTGTCTCTCTTCTTATCCCGCCTTACACAAGGGATGAATTTGGTTTAGTCGGATCATAAATTTGGACAAATAGTAGACATTGATGATTGTTTCCATGATTCAAACACTTTTACGAAATGCTACAACAAATATGAAAAAAAATCAATAAGACAATCGAACAACAAATATGAAAAAAGAAAAAATATGAAAAAAAATCAAAAAGTAATAATGCGGTGAACGTGGATCGAACACGTGACCTTCAGATCTTCAGTCTGACGCTCTCCCAACTGAGCTATCCCCGCAAGTGTTCACATTATGGTATATTTTCTTTGTTAATAAGTTTTCTGTTACTTCTTTTTGCATATGAAAAAAAGAAAACTAATACAGTAATCATTTTGATTTTACATACCTACATCAAAATTCAAACATATCATTTTAAGAAAACAGAAATCCTTGCCGTTTATAAAAGATTCATTAATCGAGAAGTTATAGATTCTTAGCGGATTTAAAATCATCATGGAGCTCTTGAAGTAATATTGATTACACACGATTTAGTTGTTACTTATGAAAATTACAGAATATGCATGTGTTAATCCACTATATGTGTGAGAGCTAGTTGAAAGAAAATTGATTTCATTTATTTTTGTGTATCAACTCGAATTCAATGTGTATCTTGCATTTCCTTGCTACGTAGTAAACATTAAATTGAATTATATAGTTGATTAGTTTAATTATTACCCCTAGAAAAATAAAATAAAATTGGAGCGAGATGGAAAAAATCACACAATAAATTTAAATTAATCAGGTCATATACTAGATTATAATAGCCAACAAAAACTGCGAATTAATCGGGTCATATACTAGATTATTAGTAATAGCCAACAAGAAAAATAAAATAAAATTGGAGCGAGATGGAAAAAATCACACAATAAATTTAAATTAATAGGGTCATATACTAGATTGTAATAGCCAACAAAAACAATGCGGTGAACGTGGATCGAACACGTGACCTTCAGATCTTCAGTCTGACGCTCTCCCAACTGAGCTATCCCCGCAAGTGATATCAATTTTATTATGTTAAGTATATAAGATTTTGATCCAACTCCATAAAATTTGTTTGTTTACAAAGCATTACCAATATTGACAACAAGAATTCTATGTATTAGTAGTTACTAAACAGAATGTGATGACAACCCAACCCAAAGCTGGCCTACTATGATGGTCTGAATCGAGAATTTATCGAAAACAACTTTTTTTTCGTCTCAAAGTAAGGAATAAGATTATGTACACATTCCCCACTTTTTATCGTTTAGTTGCTTTTATCTTGTGAATGACATAGATATGAAAAATATTGGTTACAACTTACGATAATCAACAAGTTGAGAGCATTTATTATGTGACTTATTTATCATTGTATTAACAACTCTAGCAAATAACCACTTTTTAGTCCTTATAATTGAAATACAATCATAATAAGTTTCAAATTCCACCAAGACATTAGTTTTCCCCTGTGAAATTTGAAACTCCGTGACAATGGCTATTTTTCAAAAGTAAGCTATCATTACGCTTCTAAAAAAATGACAAGAGTAACACAATGAAATTTTCTTTTTTTTGATCAGGTAAACAGTTTCATTAATCACAACGCCGAAATTGGCCCTATACATTAAAGTAAAATAATGTTAACAAGTTCATAGATAACAAGAAAATACAGGATTGTTCTTGTGAAGAATCTTGATTGGGAACAAGGATATGAAACCAATGAAGGAAAAAGATAGCAATCAAACTCAAACATCCACAAGTCAGAGATACTTTTCTTTTAACCATGGTGTCCTTACCAGCTCGCGTGCATCTCGACTGATATCTGCTACCTCGTACTAACACATGTATTGTGTAACTCTATCCATAAAAGCTGCTTGGACAGTGAAAAGAAATCGCCTAGTGCTTTTTTGCCTCTTGAGTATGAGATCTCATCGCTCTTAATCCAACATCACTGACTTCTAAGCCACACTCATGGGTTGTTTCATGAGTTATAAATACCGAGCCAACCACGACAACTCCTTGCTGTCTTTAAGGGCAAATGAAACATCATCACTGCAACAAAAACGCAACGAATCAGGACAAAAGCAACCATTGCAAGAGTCTGACACTTGCCAAGTGCTGAAAGGTCGGAAGGTGAAGTAAAACTCTCTTCATTTTAGAAACTCTAAGTGAAGGTTTCATCCTAATAAGGCTGAACTACTTAAGAGTATTACAGGTATTGACGAATTAAAACAAATAAAATATGAGTATTTACAACAATACACAATAATCTCTTCAAAAAGCCAACAATTCAAGAGTTTATATGATGTACTTTAAACTACCAACACTTCAAAATATATATAAGATCATTAGTAGAATGACAGAGTTTTACTTCAAACATATGATCTATGGAAAGAGCAACAAGTTATTCATCCTTCGTATCCTCTCGGAAACATTTCTTTCCTAATAAAAAAATCATCCATGGTCTTAATGTTATATAAACAGAAGTATAAGCTTTCGTAAGATGATTCACACAATTAAGATCTTGAATTCAAGTCTTGTAAATCATATATAACCAAAATGCTTAAGCCCCCAAAGAAGAATCAGGCATGCCGTTGAAAACCATAAGTAGGGTTATTCCTTATACTGAAAAGCATTTTAATGGCGGGTCACACAATTCAACGCTTAATAATGCAGATGAACAGAAGTATAAGCTTTCGTAAGATGATTCACACAATTAAAATCTTGAATTCAAGTCTTGTAATCATATATAACCAAAATGCTTAACCCCCCAAAGAAGAATCAGGCACGCGCTGAAAACCACAAGTAGGGTTATTCCTTATAAAGAAAAGCATTTTAATGGCAGGTCACACAATTCAACGCTTAATAATGCTGATGAACCCCAATCCAACTTAGCGGCACTTTCGCTAAACAAGGAAAATCATGGATGAACAAATTAACCAGTTAGAAATCCCATTCGTCAAAAGGATGAGTTTCTTTCTAAATATCTTGACCGATGGATTTTTGAGAGTATCATAAAAAAGTTACCCCAACTTGTTTGGAGTTGAGGCGTAGTTGTTGTCTTATCATTAAAAAGTTGTTATTGTTAGGACCTCTTTGGGCACACATGATTATGTAAATTTGATTATTTGGGATTAGATTCTACACCGGCATTTTAGTTAAAAGAGAAAATTCAGTTATAAGGTTTGAATTCACATACAGCTGAGGAATAATAAAGAAACTTACCTTGGGAAATTGAGCTGTAACTTTTGCAGTTTATGCTTCACTCCAGGTTCACATAGAAGTATTCTGCATTCACCAAGCTTGCATCTGCCACCAAACAAAATAAATGAAGGATAATTAACAAAGTGAACAAGAATTTCCACACACGTGCCGACATTTTTGAAGAGTTCGAGAAACATTGATTTCCAGTCACCATTCACTGGAATCCACTTGCTATCCATATCAACAATTACATCTACTTCACAACATTATGAGAACAGGATATCAAAACACAGAACTAATTTGTTACGATGACAGCCTAGTGTTGTCAAAGTTGCGCTTAAGCCCTGAAAAACAAGGCTCAAAACGTGTTGAGTGCCGCCATGCTTAATGTGCGGTTCAGTCTCGTCATCGAGATTCTAAGTCATACTTTTCCTTGCCAATGAGCCTCTTCTGAAGAGCCGATACTAAACAATTGAAATATCACTTTATTGTAAAAAAATAAATCAATTTCTTTGTTCATATGTGTGTCATTCATGCTTATAATTATGGGAAAAGGGTCAAAAATACCCCTCAACTTTGGTTTATTGTTTGACTACGCCCTCGCCGTTAAAATGAAGTTATTTTTACCCCTCCCGTTACTAATTTCACCAAATTTACCCCTCAATTGGATGGAAAACCCAAATCAATTAAAATTACCCAATTTCAATTAAATAACCCAATTTTTTCTCTTTTTAATCCGAACCCGACCCATTTATACCAAATTAAAACCCCAAATCAAGCTCCGGCAATCCCCATTCATTTTCTCCGTTTTCCGGCAAAACACCACCAAAACAACCTCCAAACGACCACCTGAAACCACCACTAAAAACCCCCAAGAACCAGAAACGACATCAAGCAAAAAACATTAACAACAAACCCATTTTCCTCTACTTTCCATTGACGACAACAAGATCTTTCTTCTCCATTT